GTCTATTGTGTCAGTGTTCTTCTTCTCTCCACTGACATCCTTCACTATTATCTACGAAAATATTTTAAGTAGCATATCTGAAAAGGTACACCTATACTGGGTAATTTCATGGAAACTATTGGAAACTGATATACTTTAAGATACAATATTCAATGGATATCTGATAAACTACTTTATTGCAATATGTTCACTAAAAGGACACTTGATTTTACTATCTAGATATTGAGCTGGATTTTGCATATAGTATTTTGCAGTAGTTAGTAAATGAATTTGAGATATATTGATGATTAGACCATACTTTTCATGGTTGTCTTATATTCTATCTTTTAATATATCAATTTTCAAAATATGATCTGATTCAGTTTCTCTTTGAGAGAAAACTAATTGATTTTCTTTAAAAAATTGTAAACAGAACATCGCTTTTACATAGGTAATATGTTTCATCGAAAGATAAACAATAGGAGGGAGAAATCACCTTGCTTCTCCCCACTAATTTAATGGTCTGCAGTCATAGAGAGAATAATGCAACGGTTCAACGGTACGTTCAGTAGAAATGAACATCGATACAAGCAACATATGGTGCAAGATCAAAACAAATGAATATCATTATTGAATGAGCTTATATCTCGATTCGGCAAGACTGGAATTTAATAAAATAAATCAATTTTAAAATAATACCTGATTAAGATTGAGTGTTGTAGTGACAACTTCAACACCAGTTTTAATTCTTTTATTACATAACCATGTTCTCATACGATTTTCATCAAGTTTAAGAAGAGAACAAAATGTTGAAAATGATTTATCTGATTCTTTAACGAATGTTGTTTCACTTTCACCTTCATCAATAACAACATTTCCCAAATGAAGTATAGCAGAGAGAAGACGAAATATTGACATTTGAACTTTATTCTCAATACCTATAAATACATAAATCATTCATTTAAAGAAAAAAAAAAGAAAAAACAAACCAAGAAGTGCAAGTGCTTCGCGTGTTTCTAAAAATTGTTCAGCATCATTAACACCTTTAATTATTATTGCATTTCCTTCTGATGTATATCGAAATTTATTAGCTGGTACTAATTTAACAAAAATATTAAAACAATAATATTTAATAAATATTCTTACATAGTGCAAGAGATTTCATATCAGATTGATTTGCTTGTGTACATAATTGATAAAATATATTATAATTTCGTTCATCCCATGCTTGATAACTCAC